GGTCCCCCCCCCCCCCCCAATGGCCCCTGGCTCCCCTGTGCTCATCGGGGTAGCGATTCAAAATGGTGCCCAAGATGGCGGCTCTCAACGGGTGCCTGATACGGCCAAAGAGCCTAAGCTTGTTTCTTAAAGGGGCAGCCTCCTTTTTTTTTTTTTTTTGGCTTGAAAATTCTGGAGAGGGGCTTTCCTTTCCTTTCCCTTCTCCTCCTGCCGACAATTCTGGTGTGGCTCTTTGCATTTTTTCCACTGGTGTTTCGATTCTCTTTGTGAAATGGGTTTGTCATCCCTGCTCTAGACCATCCCTGACAGATGTCTATCTAACCTGCTCTTCAATATCTCCAGAGATGGAGATTCCACAACCTCCCTAGGCAACTTATTCCAGTGTTTTACCACCTCTCAAATCTTCTCCTTCCAAACGAAACCAGCCCAGTTCTTTCAGCCTTCCTTCCTAGCTCATGTGCTCTAGACCTTTCATCATTCCCGTTGCTCTTCTCTGGACCCTCTCCAATTTCTCCACATCTTTCTTGAAATGCGGCGCCCAGAACTGGACACAAAACTCCAACGGAGGGCTAACCGGCGCAGAGCAGAGCGGAAGAATGACTTCTCGTTCTTGCTCACAGCTCTCCTGTCCATGCCTCCCAGAATCAGGTTTGCTTTTTTTGCAACAGCGTCGCACTGTTGGCTCATATTTAGCGTGTGGTCCACTTTGGCCCCTAGATCCGTTTCTGCAGGACTCCTCCCTAGACAGTCGCTTCCCATTCTGTGTGTGTGGAATGGATTGTTCCTTCCTAAGCGCAGCCCTTTACATTGGTCCTTATTCAACTTCACCCTGTTTACCTCCGACCATTTCTCCAGTGCGTCCCGATCAGTTTGAATTCTGACCCTCTCCTCCAGAGCGGTAATGCACTAGAAGACTCAGCTGGTGTTGCTTGGATACTCCAGGGCAGGGGTTTGGGGATGTGGGGGCCCGGGGAAGGAGCCTGGGAGTGCAGGGGGGATGCAGGAATCATAGGTAGGG